CTTCCAGAAGACGCCTCATTAGCTCTCTACGCCGACGACACTGCTATCCTGTGCCAACATTCCGACATCCACGAGGCCACGTATTCCCTGCAATACTCTGTGGATCTTCTCATTGATTGGTTCTACAAGTGGAAATTTTGCCTAAATTCAACTAAATGTGAGACAAAAATATTTTCCTTGAAAAAACATACATTGCCACATGAAATTCAAATATATGGTAACTTTCTACCTTGGAACCCTGATGACCAGGCCATAAAATATCTTGGAGTATGGCTGGACAAAAAACTTAATTGGAACTACCACGTTAATCAAAAACTGTCCCAAGGTTATGCACGCCTTGCAAAGCTGTTCCCTTTAATCAATAGGAAATCTACTCTGAAGCCAGCTTGTACAGTTCTAATCTACAAATCAATAATTCGGCCCTTGATAACATATGCATCTCCTATCTGGGGATTAGCTATTTCAAAAAACAAACTCTTCAAAATTCAAGTGATTCAAAATAAAATTCTAAGAATAGCGGTGAATGCTCCCTGGTTTGTTAGAAACAGGCATATATACATGAAGAACTAGGAGTGGAGTCTATCTCGGCCTTTATTGAAAAAACCACCTCAAAATTTCTAAAATCTTTAAACGATGTTCCTGGTGCATTAACTTTTCATCTTGGTGAAGCAACTGAGAACAGGAGGCTACGTCGAAGGCTCCCTCAAGATCTATTGGATGAATGAAGCCTAAAGACGATTAAATTATTCTCTAAATTAATTATGTTACAGGGTGTACCAGGTTTGGGCGAACCCACGATGTTATTATAGTCAATTTCTTTTTAATTTTGTTAACACTTCTGTGTATAATGTCTACATTGAACCAGAAATAAATGCTGTAAAAAAAAGAGTACATATTGCTCGAATTCGAGCAATTATTGGAGGAAAGTAAGGTATAACCACAGTCTAACAATAAATAATTTATATATATTAGACTGTGGTATAACCATTGACTATTGGATACAGAAGGAAGTTTTTTTTTTTTTTTTTTTAATGAATAACGAATATTTACTATGAGTTTATAAAAGAGTCAACTCAAAGATTACCGGTGTGTAACTCATGGAGATATGAACCTGTACATAAGATAAGATGCTCACTATGTTTAAAACAGTAATCAACATTTCCTGTATCATATTTCATAACCTCTGGCATTGCTTTTTAATGTTTTCTACAAACATAATGCAATGTTTTCTACAAACATAATGTAATGTTTTCTACAAACATAATGTAATGTTTTCTACAAACATTTCCTGACTTATAGCCACATAAGGTTGTCCATGTTTATCTTCATTACGTTATTAAACCTATGCATGGTACCACATTTGTCGCCTGCAGTAAGTTGATTGATTGATTGATTGTAAGAGGGTGGACTCATGGTCCAAGCACGTCAACCGAAGCTTATTGTGCATCCCGCTTGCCACTAACTAACTGGGTAAGCCTATGCCTGTGTCCCTAACTAGGTGCAGGAGCTTTTGCCCAATGTTAGCGTCTGGTTCCTCACCTGGCTGCTTTAGACCAAACAGAGCCCTTCTCCTAGCCCGTAGTCCATCGCAGTCCAGAATAATGTGTTTTGCAGTCTCATCGGACTGGTTACAAAGTCGACACTCCTGCTTGTCATTGACAATTCCTAGAGTGTGGAGATGTTTCCTGAAATGGCCGTGTCCAGTGATAAGAGCAAGTACCTGCTTGACCTGCCCTCTCCCCAGCTTTAGCAGCCAGCGAGTGAAGAGGGTGCTAGGTTCTGAGAGCAGTTTTTTGCCAAGTGATTGTCCAGGATAATTACGCCAACGCTCAAGATGTCTCCTGGACCATTTGTTGATTACATGTTTAGCGGCCGCTTTGCTGATGCCAAAAAAATGGCTCTGGTCCAAAGAGTGGCATGATCGCACCTTTTTTTGCCAGCTTGTCTGCACTCTCGTTGCCGCCAATGCCTAAATGGCCTGGGACCCAGCCGAGAGTTACAGAGTTCTGTGATGCAAGTCTGCAGAGGGTTGAGGAGGGTTGAAACACTCCCAGACTAGTTTTGAGGTGACTTCATTTGAGTCAAGAGCTTTGAGAGCAGCCTGACAATCAGATAAAATCACTATCCTTTTGTCTTGGTACCGTCTGGCTAGTCCTAGGTTGGCACAAGCCAAGATGCCATAGATTTCTGCCTGGAAGATGGTACAGTATTGTCCCAGACTTCCTGATAGTTCTGTTCTGGGTGATCGACAGTAAACCCCAAAACCAGATTTTCCATCGATTAGGGAGCCGTCTGTGTTCCAGACGTAGCTCTCCATATCTTGGAGATGCCCTTCCTGATGTTTCCACTCATCTCTGGAGCGGAATTCAACATTAAAGGGTTTGGTGAAAACTGCTTCCTTGCTTAGGAAGTCCGAGGTCATGTCAAGCACAGGACACTCAGCCAAAGTCTTAGCAATGGCGCAGTGGCCTGCCCCTGACAGGCCTTCCCTCCACAGATTTGCAACCCTCAGACGGTAAGCTGCATTGAGGGCCTCAGATCTGATGAAGATGTCCAGTGGTAGCAGCCCAAGAGCGACTTCTAGAGTAGCTGATGGACTGCTCCTGAAGGCTCCAGTGGCCTGTAGCGTGCCGAGCCTTTGCATGCTTTCTAGCTTGGCTATGACAGTTACCTGATTCACCTTTGTCCACCAGACTAGTGAACCATAGGTAATCTGAGGCCTGACCACAGCCTCGTATAGCCAGAGTGCTATGTGGGGTTCCCTAGGTGGTTCCTGCAAACCTCCTGGACGTCATGAGCGCCCATTTGGCCTTATTCTAATAAATTTAAGTAATTCTTTAATAAAGATAAACACTTTTTTCATCACCTTTTAGACTCTCTGTTGTCTGTCACAATTTTATTTGTTCAATTGACGCATTTTTGTTTAGTTGCAATAACGTTAATTCTATTTACCTGAGAAAATTCAGAGTTAAAGACCTGATGTTGCTCAGTTGGTTTTTGTTTCCCTTAGCTATACATGAATAATAATTAATGCCTTCAATAAAAATGTTAGTAAGGGTTTCTTGGATATTTTCATAGGCTACCTATTAAATTCTAAAATCCCTTAACTTTTATGGAAACATAGATTAATGTCATTGACGTACCAGATTTATTTGGCTTTAGAAGGCTTTCCTCTGCAATGATCACAAAGTTATATTATAGGTCAATGTTTCCTACAAAAAATTGTAGCACTTCGGCCAACATCCTAGTTCATCGTTTGTAGGAATCTGAATTTTGTAGGTGTTCTTCATTATATAGGCTAATAACGATAATAAATTCTTTAAAAATTATTATCTCTATTTCTTCTATTTGGTGGCGTTCTATGACTTTTTATGTTTCCATAATTTGGAAATGGGTTCTTTCGATTTAATTTTTGTAGGACACATTTCTTTTAGTTGCAGCTTAAATATTAACAGCAATTAAATATCCAGCTGATCATAATGTAAACAAATATGTTCTTCATAAGGATAAAATGGGAACTTTAAAAGCCACTGGGGAAGAGCCCAAGGGAATTTTTCAAAAATTTAAGGTCAGTTTGCAAATCTACACAACACGCTCTTTCCGAAGAGACATCAATGGATAAAATCGGTTAAGAAATGGCAGAGGAGTTCAACCAACAAATTTCATGTTGAAGTAAGATTTTTAAACATTGTGGTTCCAAAAGTCTGACATTGGACTCCTTAAAACCCTCTGGGACGGAACCCTTTTGACAGATCTGCACCAAACTTCACACTAACCATCCTTGAATAATGCTTAATAACGCCTGGACGTTTTATTACAATCTGTTGAGCGGTTTCGGAGTCCATAGGTTATATATATATACATACATACTTCCCCATTATTGATTGTTTTTCTCTTTCTTCAACCACAGAATCAGAGCTGGCCTTAAAAAATGTGATAAGTGATGTCACACAGGGCCCCGCTCTTGTTGTAAAAGTTTGTAAATTTAACGTTTATTATGTCAATTATGAAAAAGAAAAAGGGGGAGTATTAATACTAACTAATATTATACACTGAGATTATGTTGGTAAGTAAATAATTGTTGTGATTCTATTTTTTGGTAGTAACTAGTAAGGGCCCCGCTCTAAACTAATTACGATAAAATAAATGTATAACATAATGCATTTTGTTGTAAAAAACTGACGTGTCATATGTTTACTGGTGATGTATCACAATTAATTATGTAAATTCTAATAGACGAATAAACTTAATTTAATTTCATTTCAATGTTTGCCCTGGGCCCTGCAGGCTTACCTGCCACCTATAAGGCCAGCTCTGCATAGTAGTATTCTCTGCAAGTAAATAAACAGGCGGCACAATTTTTATTTCACTATTAGTTTTGCCAACAGTGTCATTTGGAGGCTTCTGATTGGCTGACGTCACTCTCTTCTCTAGAGGGAACACCATTACCGCAACGATACGGTATAGAGCCATCGGCCTCGGTGGTGTAGTGTAGCTGTAGCATACCTGGCTGATAAACTGTAGATAGCCCGATCGAATCACCAATAGCACTAACTTTTTGTCAACAATTTAGCTTAGAACGTGATTACTTCTTAACTGTACATCTTTTGTTAGAATTTGAGGCATTTATAATTTTATTTTATGAACAGAACTATTTTTTTTATTAATAAACCTTAATTTGATTTTTTTATCATCAGCAAGTTTGGTTAGTTTGTTTAGGTTATGACAATTTAATTTTATAATTAAAAAATTGAATTTGAGGCATTTATAATTTTATTTTATGAACAGAACTACTTTTTTATTAGTAAACAATTTTCCATTATCAGCAAGTTTGGTTAGTTTGGTTAGGTTATAACAGTTTAATTTTATAATAAAAAAATTAAAAGATTAATTTATAACTCTTCTTAATTTTAAAACTAAGTATGAGTAAGTATGACCAAATGACACTGTTGGCAAAACTAATCGTGAAATAAAAATTGTACAAACAGGCGATAGCATTTTTCTACAAAACTAACTTTTAATAACAATCTTTCACAGTATAAATTATTGAAAAATGAGATTATGATACAAGATACACAATTTACAAATCAATAAAAATTCCATTTCCTGATAACCAATCAGAAGGACATATTTGGCTCATCAAGCAATTTCAAAGTCTCTCTTTTTAGATCTAAATGCTTTTTCAGTTTCCCGTACTCTGCAATCAAATCTTTGTATCTGACAGACTCTGCTTCCCTCTTCTCATATTCCTTCAGTGTTTTCTGCAAAGCCTTAAGTTCAGTTCCCATTTCTGCTATTTGAATCTTCAAATTATCTCCCTCTGTGTCCATTTTTTCCTTCACATTTTCATCCACAAACAAACACTGATCCAATTTTTCTTTTAAGGCACTGAAAACATAGAAATATTTCTATTACAAGTTAAACACCCTTGCCACAGCAAACCTGCCAACTAATCCAATTTTTTGTCTGAATTGATTTTCAATTTAATCAATTTAAATAACATTGGTTTAACGAGTACCTAGGTTTGCTGCTACAAGGAAACTAATTGAGTGTGTTTTATCATAAAATATTAATAGCTTAGTATAAGATCAGTAAATTTGCCAAGTTTTCAAAATATATCCATAAACAAGCAAACAACATTTTACAATATTCTCCATAAGAATAAATAAATTTTTAGAATTTCCTACGTTACCAATAACCGTACAAAAACCCTTTGTTATACTACATGATTTGTTTTTTAAGCTCTTTAAAAATGTTTTGAGAGAAATTAGGAATTTTTTTGTTTTGAGTGTCAAAAATGAGTAAAACCAATTTTTCCCATAAAACCACCCTTAAAACTATGGTCCTATGGTCTGATCATGCTGGTCCGCGAGCTCATTCCCTCTTACACCTTTAAACCAAATTTCATCAAAATCGGACAAAAATTACCTAAGTTATTGTGTTCACGGACACATATGTAACTCTATATATAAATATATTCATATTCTTTATTCATATTTTTTGTACAAAGGTGGTACTGTACAATGAATAGCCTCGATATAAGAAAGAAATACAATATAAAATATAAAAGAAATACAATTACAATGATATCAGTAAATAATAAAAATAAGTCTTTAGTTAAGAATGAAATACAAAATTAAAATAGCTTAATGCCTTGTAACTTAATGCCAGGGAGGTGGAGAACTCTTCTATAGAATAAATAGCTAAATTTAATATATAATCTTTGAGTAATTTTATAAACTTATTAAAATCTGTTTCTTTTTTTATGGTATTGGACATAAATAAAAAAAAACCTTTGGGCCTGCATTGGACAGTTTTTTTATATATAAAACTTGAGCCTATGAGGCTCAACAACCCCATTTTTTTCCTAAGGTTATAGTAGTGGCTTGTCATAGATTTTTCACACAAATCGTTTTTTTAGCAATAAGAATAACTTCATCCATAAACTTATCCATAAACTGAAAAAAAATTAAAAAAAAATTACCTAATTTTTATTTTTTAAGTGTTCTTTGGCTGAATCGTCCTCCTTTAGCTTGAGCATTTTCCCGATAGCATTTTTGCTGTTTTTAAATAAAAATCCATATTTCTTTGTTTTGTTGAACCGTATAATGCTATGCCGAATAGGATATGGGAATGTACATGAGCAAAATATATATATTTTTTAAAGTGTTTATAATGCAATAAAAAGACATTTTTGATAGAGCATACCTCCAGAATTAATCTTTAGCAGGATCTTTTTTACATGCTCATTCCAATTTAGGTGTTTATCTATCGTTAAACCTAGAAAATTGATACTACTTTCCCTATTGATGTTTTGTGATTTATATTCTAGTGTTGGGTTTGAAGATTTTCGGTTTTGTGGTGTTTTAAACGTTATGAACTGTATGTAATATATGTACAGTAGAACCTCTTTAATCCGAACTAATTGGGACCGGGGGTAGTTCGGACTATTGAATAGTTCGGATTACAGAACATATTGTTGTTTTTACATAACAATAGCTAGGGAAAAGTGGAAAATGCTTTATAAAGTAAAATACAGTGTTTATTTAATACAGTAGTAAACATTGGGAATAAACAGTACTGTACATTACAGTTGAAATAATTACGGTGCGTATATCAATAAATACAGTATACAATAAAGAACTACTGCACTGTGTATAGAGTACAGCAATGAGGCGTTCGGATTAGTGGACGTTCGGATTACAGGGGTTCGGATTAAAGAGGTTCTACTGTATATATATACATATATAAAAATTTGAACGAATTGTGTTTTTACCATGCCACCTACAGTAATAGCTAAATCCCTATAGGGAAATTCGCTTAAACTCTGTTAACATAGTTTTTTCGTGTACTTTTGTTACTGTTACAGGAAACCCAATACTTCAATGTCTAAAGTAAAATAATGCATTGTGTTGTCTGTTCTGACTGTGCGAGAGGCAAAATATAATCCTAAACCACAATTTTTGTTTTCTTGACATTTGCCTATTGGGTCTGATGATGATTTGAGTGCCCAATCGAAATCGATCACCACTTACCATCTTTTCAATGTATTTACCATCTTGTGAGTCAACAGTATAAGCGTGAATATATTACAAGTGTTACTAGACGTGTATCTTTTTGTTGTTTATAGGTAATTTAATATCACATACTATGCTGATCAAGAAGTTATAATTTGAAGTTATGCAAAGTCGTCAACAATGTTTAAATTTATGTTGTTTACAAACATAACTTAAAAAATATTGTGTGATTAGCAATGTTTTCATAACGTGTAGGCTTATTTCAAATAGTTATTAAAATTTATAACAAGCCATAAACAAATTTTGAAGCCAGCGAACCAAAAATTTACCATATGTTTTTTGTTCCCTACTTGAAGTTACCTGAAAACGATGATTTTGCATATGATTTAGAGAACTAAAAACGGCAGTTTTCCGGATAGTATGATGAAAATACTTTTAGTGTCAAACAATAAGTTAAGTAACAGGTTAATTAATTTGTTTACAAGGAGAAAATAGTAGGCCTACTGTTTGACCAAACAGATTAATTCATCCCTCCCATCACCACCTCACCTCTTGCAATAGAAAAATTCAACCAATGTAACTAGTTATAGAAATAATAATACAAACAAATCAAGTCAGATATATATTGTTCCTTGATTGAGCAGAGTACATAACATTAAAATGGTTCAATGATGTTTCATGCTAAAAGATTTCTTAAAATACAATAGCTGTTGCAATTTTTTCAGGCTATTTCCAAGTGGTGTACTCTAGTAAGAGCCTAGTATCGGTGGGTGTTATTTAACGTAATAGGGTAAATAATACTATAAGTTAAGTGTTACCTATTAATCACCTTGGTTTTTTAAGGGAAAAACACAACTTGGCTTTGGAATAATAATTGAGAAGATAGGAAGGATACACAACTAACTCACCTGAATAAACAGTCCCAGGAGGTCAATAGAACACATAGAAAGTACACATTACATTACTTTCTATGTGTTCTATTGACATACTGAGATACTCTATTCAGGTGAGTTAGTTGTGTATCCTTTTACCTTCTCAATAACTATTAATTGCTTTGATAATAGATTACTGAGAATACACTTTTACTTTCGTAAGATCGTTTGAACTCAGAACAAGCAAGAGAAATAATGCTGAAAACCTCTCCGAGACAGTGACTGGCTGAAATGTACTGGACGAGAAAGTAAAAGGTGACAAAAGTATAATTACTATTTCATCTATTACCAAAAACCTAAGGAATGTCCCTGACTATTATAGCAAAGTACAGGTATCTCCCATCCCTAGAGCCTAGCCTTTTTCATGCCCGACATACACATACAACTAACCTAGATAGAATGTTTCAGGAAAAGAAATACAGTAGGATCTCGTTAATCCGGCCCTATATGGGGATTAGTATGGCCGGATTATAGAAAATGCCGGATTAGTGGAAATGCATCAGAAATTGAAGTGGTTTTACAATAAACAACATTTTATTGCTTACGAAAACTATGATAACAATCATTTGAATTTCTGTACAGTATAGGCCTAATGAAATGTTGTTTAATGTATTATAGTGAAAAATAAACAGTGATATGAAACAGCAAACAACCGTACAGTACAATATCAGACGATGAACAAAGATAATCACTAAATACTGTACGTGTACAAAATGAAAATTACAGAACTTTAGGCCTACTGTACACTTTACATGTAAGACCTACTTAAACAACAGCAAAATAGTTTGTAATATTTTTCTGCTTCTTTGCATTAAAAGAAAGTTTTAAAACATTTTCCTGGAGCCTCTTTAGTGGCATAATATCGGAAGCCGAAGCACCGTTTTCTTCCGCCCAAGTTATTGCAGTTGCGTAGGCACAGAGCGCCGAATCCGTGTTGACTGTGTGTGCAGCTGCAGCTGTCGACGTCGACGTACTGGCTCCGCCCTCCTCGTCCCCCTCCTCCACGTCACAGCCGTCTAGAACATCTTCGATGATCTCATCGTCTGTCATGATTTGACACTGCTCGTCGTCTGCTCCGTCTAACCAGGCGGTAACATCGGCTGATGTCAGATCTTCTGGATCGTCTACTAACTGTTCGGCTATTGCTTCTCTTAAGTCATTTAGCTCAGCATCTGTTGTCACTGTCGTTTGAGGATTTGATTGTCTTCTGTAATCCTCTAATAAATCAAGAGAAGGCCACAACTTCGCCCATGAACAAACAATTGTTTTTGTTGCAAGTTTTTCCCATGCGCTTGCAAGATTAAAAACAACATCTTTCAGGTTGGTTTCCTTCAGAGCTGTAACAACACTCCCCTCTTTTGACAAAACACTGTACAAAAGGGTTTTTTTGTAATTCGTTTTTATAGTTTGGATCACATTTTGGTCCATGGGCTGGAGTATCGGAGTTACATTTGGGGGCAAAAATAAAGCAGTGATTTTTCCATCCCTACTTTTTAACTCATCCTCATCTGGATGTCCAGGACAATTATCGAGCAACAAAATGGCCTTTTGAGGCAGTTTTTGTGCTTTCAAAAACTTTTTTACTGATGGTACAAACGTTTGATGGAACCATTCCAAAAAAAGAGTTTTTGTCATCCATCCTTTTGTCGAGTTTGTGTATGTAACTGGCAACTGTGTGTTTTTGAAAGCCCTTGGCTTTTTGGCTTTCCCAATAACAAGCAATTCTAATTTATGTGTGCCACTAGCATTACAACACGGCATAAAAGTTACTCTATCTTTGGCCAACTTGCGACCAGGGGCACTAGCTTCCTCTCTATGAACGAATGTTTGTTTCGGCAAAAGACGCCAAAACAGACCACTCTCGTCAGCATTTCTGATCTGGGCCTAAGTCCATTTCATCCACAATTTCTTTAAATTTTTCAATAAAAGGTTCTGCAGCCGCTACATCACACGAAAGCCTTTCACCAGTCATAGTTAGCAGTCGAATTCCAAAGCGTCGTTTGAATTTATCCAGCCACCCAACACTTGCACGGAAGTCGTCCTTTTTCATGATTTTGTTATAGAACAGTTTCGCCTTTTCCATTATAATATCACCTGAAATTGGCGTGTGTCGGCTCCTTTCTTGCATGAACCAATTATAAAGTGTGTCTTCTACTTGCGGAAATTCGCCTACTTTTAATGTCTTTCTTACCTTCGAAGATGATTCACTACTCCTCTTAAAGAATGATTCGATCTGCTCCTTCTTCTTCTTTATGTCGTGTATAGTTGCACGGCCGATATTGTATTCCTTAGACAGATGAGCCAACTTTTCACCCTTTTCCAAACGTTTTAAAATCGTATACTTTTTATCTAAAGTCAGCGTTACATGCTTACGTTTTCCCGACATCGCACTACACTTGTAGATTGTATAGTATATACACTGTACTCACAACACTGCCTTCACTCAACTCACACGCCACGCACTGTACGCAACTACCCGTAGCAGACGTCAGTCGTCAGTGTACTGCTGTTGTGAAATATGGACACTCACGTTTTCAAGTCTAGACATGAAAATTTACTGAATATTCGGCGAAAACACAGTGCCGGATTACTGGACGTGCCGGTCTAATGAACGGCCGGATTATAGAGACTCTACTGTACAAGCATATAATGAAACATCTTTGTGACTGTAGCGGTAGCTTGTTTTAGAAAATTTATTTAACTCCTACTTTTGGCAACAAGTGGTTTCTAGAGGCTACCTATAAAACCCCAAAGATTAAACTAAAGCAATTACCTAATAGTGGTGTTGATATAAACTGCTTTCTTTTGCAACAAGTCAAACGTGGCAGTCTGCAAGTGGTAACTGGAGTCATGCCTCAGTGTTGCTAACTGTTGTACTATTGATGAGCTGCTACTGATTAGTTGTCGCACCTGATTTTGCAAATCTTCCACACCTCTGTACAGTTCAAACTGTTCTTTCTTCTCTCTTGTAAGTATGCCTGCCACTGCTTTCATGCTGTGTGCTCCAAATTCATCTGTAAGACAAACATATAAAAAAAAAACAACAAATATTATTTTTTTATTATTTTACAATTACATTTACAATTATTATTTTTTATTTTGTGATCTGTACCACTTTTAGTGAATTTCCAATAGGGAATAAGCTATTACCAAAGTACTCATGGTAAGACCTGGACCCGGGTCCGATTTACCTACTTTTTAGTTTTGAGGTCCCTAGAGGCCATAAACACCATCGGTTCAAATTCGGTATAAATGTGTGTGTGTGTGTCCGTTAGCACGATAACTAAGTACACATTAAGGTGAACAAATTAACCCAATGCTATAGGGAATAAATGTGATATTTTTAAGGAGATATTTTAGAGTAAGGTTTGCTGCAGCGGGGGTATTTGATATTTCTCTTACCATTTTGTAAATTGAATGATTTCCATTCCACCCACTCTCTGAACAAGTCCTACTTCAGGACCAACTATCAGTATTATGTTTTATTAAATTATTCCTTATCAAAAATTCTTACTAGCCAACTGGCTTTATTTAAATATTAATAAAATCTTTTTTTAATTTAAGTGTGGCACTGCACGTTACAATAAAACTGTGATAGAAACTCTTATTAAACCTTTGTATAGATCAATCAAATTATCTACAATGATAAGGAAATGTTATTTACTCACCTTGTAAAGTTTGTTTTTGTAGCTTCAATTTAGCAATGTTTGATTCCACTACTTTCACACAGTTACTATGGAATGCGGACTTGTTTATCAACGCCATTGATCTGCTTGTGCTTGGTTTGAGATCCTCTTTTTCTAAGCCTAAAAGATGGATAACCTCGCCATTTTTGCACTTCAAAGAAACTTTTTCTTCAATATCAGAATATTGGGTAACTGCCTTGATTTGCTTAGCCCACGAAGTAGACTTTGTTTTTATTGTGTCTAAAACAAATTTGTTTATCCTATAGTTGGCATAAGCCTCATTGACTTTACTTTGTAATGCTTTAAGCTCGGCAATTTTTTCTTCAGATATGTCCTTGACTTGTTCGAACGAAAATGCACCACAGGATTTCACATTGGAAGTACAATATTTTTCAGGAGATATTGATATTTCTCCTTCTTCAGACAGATTGGTCAGGCTATGGGAAGACTTACTAGTGTGACTGTGCGTTAAAGATCCTAAAGATATGCTCTCTTCATCATCTGAGGCGTTGCTGCCAGAATAGCCATTTCTGCTAGACATACTGATATTCATTTCTTTTTCTGTTGTTTCCTGGTAAAAGTTTCTCTCAAAGCCCGAGAACGTTAAAGGTGATGATTTGGGTAACAAGCCACTATGTTCATGAACACTATCATACAATTCTGTAAATAAAACATAAAATTATTAAAAGTGGTTTGAAGACCCTTGGTTTAAGTGTATGTCTAAGTAGCAAAAATCAAATACACCAACAAAGAAAATAATACAGTATTATTCTTGGGTACAGTTCCATAGAGATCCCACAATAGATAATTGATTGAAATATCAGTTACATTTATTAATTGTATTGGTTATAATTTGCATACGGTTTAAAGATCAATTCAAGCAAGCTTCATAGAGTACTAGCTCGAGGTCAGGCTAATCCTTTAGGAACAATGCTTAAGGAGGATGGCACATATACAGACGGCCCAGAAGAAGTGCTGGAGAGCCTTTTGAGCGCTCACTTCCCAGGATCCTTGCAACCGCAGAGCACAGTCCAGGAGGAGATGGAAAGGGAGACTAGGGCGGACTGCAATGGAAGATTGGGCTTGCACTAGGCCTGTGATTACCTTTAACGGTATTAAATGGGCTCTTAGGGCATTTCAACCATTTAAAGCTCCTGGTTCCGATGGCATCTATCCTGTGTTTTTACAGGAAGGTGGGGACCAGTTGATACTCCCCTTGGTGCGTCTTTTCTTGAGGACCGGCTTAGCCAGTGGAGTTATACCAACAGCATGGAGGACCTCAAGGGTGGTATTCATACCGAAGCCTGTAAGGGACACATATGCTGTGCCTAAGGCTTTCAGACCAATCAGCCTTACATCGTTTCTCCTGAAGACCATGGAGAAATTAGTGGATAGAGGAATAAAGGATAGGGTCCTGGTATCCAAACCAACACATCTATCAGAAGGGAAAGTCATGCGAAACAGCCCTGCATGCGCTGGTTAGCCAGATTGAAAATGCTATCTCGAATAAGGAAATAGCGGTGGCTGCATTTCTTGATATAGAAGGAGCTTTTGACAACACTAGTACTCGCTCTATTGTATCAAAGCTGGTGTCGAGAAATGTGGAAAGCACTGTAGTGAGGTGGATAGGCAACATGCTCGAAAGTAGGAAAGCGTAAGCTTCTCTGTGTGGGACGGTGAGAGAGGTCAAGGCCCAAAGAGGATGTCCACAGGGTGGCGTCTTATCACCAAATCTGTGGAACCTAGTGGTCGACGATCTCCTGTCCGAGCTCAATGCACAGGGCATGTACGCTCAAGGATATGCTGACGATATTGTTGTCCTAATAAGAGGAAAATTTATGAACACTTGCCTGGAACTAATGCAGAGGGCATTGTCCATAGTATAGAGGTGGTGTAACCAGGAAGGTCTGAGGGTCAATCCAATGAAGACTGTAATGGGACCATTTACAAGAAAGAGAAATGTTGATATCGCTAGAGTACCAACTCTCTTCAGTAATCAGTTCCAGGTTAAGAGGGAGTTCAAGTACCTAGGAATAGGGCTCGACGACAAGCTCACCTGGAACAGCCATTTGGCAAATACAACGTAACGCTCTCAGACCACACTTATGATGATGAGACAAGCTGTTGGGAAGACCTGGGGTCTAAGCCCACAAATGACTAACTGGCTATACACTAGGGTTACAAGACCGATGATGGTGTATGGCTCGGTGGTCTGGTGGACCAAGGTAATGCAAACTACCGCTTTAAAGAGACTACAAAAGATCCAGCGAGTGGCATGCCTTAGCATCACAGGAGCCATGAGAGGCACTCCAACTACAGCCCTGGAAGTAGTGCTAAACCTGCCACCTCTCAACATCATTGTGAAAGGAGAGGCAAGGATGCCAGCCTACAGAATTGCTTGCAGTGGCAACTGGAAGTATAATACCTCCAGTGAGCACACAAGAATTGTGGACAAGGTGCAGATGAACACATTGGAAATGCTACCAGACAGGATGGTGAAGATCACAGATATAGAAAAACCATACAATGTCAACATTGTTGACAGGGATGCCTGGGACAAAGGTGAACCTGAATACATGAAAAGGGGGATCACTTGGTATACGGATGGCTCGAAAAAGCCAACGGGCATGGGGGCTGGAATATATAGAGCCAGACCCAAGGTGCAGTTCTGCGTAAGCCTGGGAAAAATGGCCACTGTATTCCAGGCAGAAGTTGCTCTGTCCGAGTGTGCAAGAGTGTGTTTGAAGCGCGGTCTTATAGGCCACACTGTAATACATGTACTCGGACAGCAAAGCAGCACTAATGACACTTTACAGTTTTGACTTTATCTCCAAGGCTGTATGGGACTGTCATCAGGCCATGAAAGCCCTGGGAAAGAACAACAGCATCATCCTTAGTTGGGTTCCTGGGCACAAAGGTATTGCTGGCAATGAGGGAGCTGACAATTGGGCAAACAAAGGAGCTGAAAGCCCGCTCATGGGTCCAGAGCCGACGTGTGGCATTGCTTACATCACAGCACGGAGAGCTGTTGGCCAGTGGATGGGCATAGAACATCGAAGGAGCTGGGAAAGAACAGAAGGAAATGTACAGTCAAAGAGAATGCTGCAGGCACCTACGGGTGCGATAGCGGCAGATGCCCTTGGGCTGAGTAGGAAGACCCTGCGGAAGGTGGTTGGCTTTATTAGCGGCCATTGGGTATTCCGTGGACATTTACACAAGATGGGAATTCAAGTTGAAAGTCTCTTATGTAGGAAATGAGAAGAGGAGGAGGAGGAGACAGCATTCGACGTGATATTTATGTGCCCAGCCCTACAAGGTCTGTGCATGAGATCCCCTTGGTCTATCGACTGGAGATCAAAGGGAAGAACGGGTCACCATAGTCAAAAGGATCTCATGGTTCACAAAGGACCTGGGATTTGACAAAGAATGAGGACCTGTGAATGAGGGTGCACAATAAGCTGTTCCAGCTGCACTGCAATCCCATGGTTACTTGTTAGCCTGGCCCTCTATAAAAAAGATCAATATATATGTATTGAATGGTATAAGGTTTAGGCCTACATATCTCATAATACAACAAACTGCTTAATTTATGACACAGTTGTTTAAATGTTTTGGCTACATGTGTTCGCCATTGTCAAAACGTTTTTCTTCATCCATCTGCAACGTTTTGACAATGGAGGATACAAGCCGAAACATGTAAACAACTGTGTCATAAATTGAGCTGTTTGTCGGATTATAAGGTATGTAAACCTATTTATCACATTGAATATAACAGCTCAGGAGCTGGAATGGAAATTAATTATAATAAATGTATTAAATGAGAATATTTTAAGGCAAAGGGTCTTTTCAAGTTAGGACTTAACCACACGGTGCTGAGGTGGTTAGGTTATTTTAATTTAGTTCAGTTTAGTATAAGCCTAGTTTATTTTATGATTATAACAAACAAGGTAACTTTTGTAACAACAAAAGTGGAGAGGCTTTTGTCTAATTTTTTAAAGAGAAAAATTAACAAAGACGTCTAATTTGTATTCAAGTGCTCTTTTTCATAAGTTCAGATGAGTTTAATGGTACCGTACCTTGGTTTTCAGCATCATAAACTAAACCAAACTAAACTAACCAAGCCAAACCTATAAACATTACAGTGTGTGTGTACAATGTAAAATAGTGGTGGGCAGCTCTCTTCTAGAAAAGACACATAACAGAAAATCAGTATTTAAATTTAATATTGAGAATGAAATATTTTAAGTACTTAAGTCATATCGATTAGGCCTTAACATGTTTCATTTGATATAACTTTTTATTGGGTTTTAATATAAAATCTCTGTTAATCTAATATATTATCGATTTAAATACTAGGCCTAGTGATTATAGTTCGGTTTGATGTATCACTTCAACATTTTTTTCACGATGTACATCAAATTGAGTTGTGGTCTAAATCCAAACGATAGTAATAAATTGGAAAACAGTTCCGCAGAGAACCTACGATAAGTATAATAACAGATTAAATACTGATACAGTAGAGAGTCAAAAATCCGAACCATATTGGGACCGTAGGTAGTTCAGATTACCAATCTATTCGGATTTTCAAACATAGCCTAGAAATGCCTAATCTTATCTTACTAATATTATAAATCTGAAAGTTTGTGAGTTTGTGTGTATGTTTGTTGCTCAATCACGCATAAACTACTGGACGGATTGGGCTGAAATTTGGCATGATGATATTTCACATTCCCGATAAACATTAAAGCATATTCTTATCTCAAAAACCCTTTCGGGCTCCGCCCCAGTGGCTCTGTAGTTCCCCATGTTAATCTTATAATTTTTCATATTTAAAAGTAATTAATGAATCTTAACAGCTGTTTCAATTAAACAAGTTGGTTCTGTTCTATGATGTTCAATAGCATAAAAGGTACAAGGATTACCAACAGGGTGCAGCACTATTATTTTTTTTTTAATTTATGACAACAGCTAATTTCCAACCAAAAGGTGAGTGAGCGTAGCGAACAAACTTCAACCTGGAGGTGAGTTAGCGTAGCGAACGAGATAACCTGAAGGCAAGTGAGCGCAGCGAACGAGCTCCAACCTAAAGGTGAGTGAGCGTAGCGAACGAACTTCAACCTGGACGAATGAGCCATGCGAATACTTGTTAAACGGGGCGAAGCCTGCGGGTACAGCTAGTAGACACATAATTAGGCCTACAATATTAAAAATACAGTTCTAGGATAGCCTACAGTGAATGAAATAAAAATAATGATTTTTGTACTTAGGTATTTTCGTTATACCGGTTGTCCACAAAGTCTTGGCCTGATTTAATAGCATTGCTGTACGAAAACCATTAGAGCCACACTTGACTTGAATGCCTTGTTTAGAAGGATATTTAATCAAGTTTTATTTGATGAAATTGGAATAAAAACCTTAACACAGCTGATTGACAACAATATAGTTATTATTCAATACAATATTTAACAAATTAGAAATTGTGAGTTTACTTGAGAATTCTCAGTTTGTTTTGTTGATTTAAGAAACCCAATCCCCTATAGCAGTTCGAGGACCTTCCATTTAAGTGGGAAGGTTAACAGACACAATAATTGTAGAATTTGGGGGGAGTGAAAATCACTTGTGTGAACCTGGCAATAACTCCAGCCATAAGTAGTGCGCGCGCCCGAAAAATCTATTGCTGGCCGATTTGCGGCAAAATACGGCCGCGTAACATAGTACCGATGATGTCACCAGATAGAGGACACTTTAACGGACACGACAGTATCAATATCATGTACCTGGGGGATAAGAAAGGGGGGGTAAAGTCAGCCAAAAGTAGTGGGCTTGCCCGAAAAAATCTATTGCCGGCTGTTTTGCGGCAAAATACGACCGCGTAACATGAAACCTATAATGTCACCAGATAGAGGACACTTTAACGGACACGACAGTATCAATATCATGTACCTGGCGGATAAGAAAGAGGGGGTAAAGTCAGCAATAAGTAGTGGGCTTGCCCGAAAAAATCTATTGCCGGCCGTTTTGCGGCAAAATACGACCGCGTAACATGAAACCGATAATGTCACCAGATAGGGGACAATTTAACGGACACGACAGTATTAATATCATGTACCTGGCGGATAAGAAAGAGGGGGTAAAATCAGCAATAAGTAGTGCGCGCGCCCTCAAAAATCTATTAATGGCCGATTTGCAGCCAAATACGGCCGCGTATCATAATACCGATGATATCACCAGATAGAGGGCACTTTAACGGACACGATAGTATCAATATCATGTACCTGGCGGAAAAGAAAGAGGGGGTAAAGTCAGCAATAAGTAGAGCGCGCGCCCTCAAAAATCTATTGCTGGCCGATTTGCGGCAAAATACGGCCACGTATAATACCGATGATGTCACCAGATAGAGGACACTTTAACGGACACGACAGTATCAATATCATGTACCTAACGGATAAGAAAGAGGGGGTAAAATAAGCAATAAGTAGTGCGCGCGCCCTAAAAAATCTATTGCTGGCCGAATTGCGGCAAAATACGGCCGCGTAACATAATACCGATGATGTCACCAGATAGAGGACACTTTAACGGACACGACAGTATCAATATCATGTACCTAACGGATAAGAAAGAGGGGGTAAAATCAGCAATAAGTAGTGTGCGCCCTAAAAAATCTATTGCTGGCCGAATTGCGGCAAAATACGGCCGCGTAACATAATACCGATGATGTCACCAGATAGAGGACACTTTAACGGACAGGACAGTATCAATATCATGTACCTAACGGATAAGAAAGAGGGGGTAAAATCAGCAATAAGTAGTGCGCGCGCCCTAAAAAATCTATTGCTGGCCGAATTGCGGCAAAATACGGCCGCGTAACATAATACCGATGATGTCACCAGATAGAGGACACTTTAACGGACACGACAGTATCAATATCATGTACCTAACGGATAAGAAAGAGGGGGTAAAATCAGCAATAAGTAGTGTGCGCCCTAAAAAATCTATTGCTGGCCGAATTGCGGCAAAATACGGCCGCGTAACATAATACCGATGATGTCACCAGATAGAGGACACTTTAACGGACAGGACAGTATCAATATCATGTACCTAACGGATAAGAAAGAGGGGGTAAAATCAGCAATAAGTAGTGCGCGCGCCCTAAAAAATCTATTGCTGGCCGAATTGCGGCAAAATACGGCCACGTAACATAATACCGATGATGTCACCAGATAGAGGACACTTTAACGGACACGACAATATCAATATCATGTACCTAACGGATAAGAAAGAGGGGGTAAAATCAGCAATAAGTAGTGCGCGCGCCCTAAAAAATCTATTGCTGGCCGAATTGCGGCAAAATACGGCCGCGTAACATAATACCGATGATGTCACCAGATAGAGGACACTTTAACGGACACGACAGTATCAGTATCATGTACCTGGGGAATAAGGAAGGGGGGGTAAAGTCAGCAATAAGTAGAGGGCGCGCCCGAAAAATCTATTGCTGGCCGATTTGCGGCAAAATACGGCCGCGTAACATAATACCGATGATGTCACCAGATAGAGGACACTTTAAAGGACACGTCAGTATGAATATCATGTACCTGGGGGATAAGAAAGGGGGGTAAAGTCAGCAATAAGTAGTGGGCTTGCCCGAAAAAAACTATTGCTGGCCGTTTTGCGGCAAAATACGACCGCGTAACATGAAACCGATAATGTCACCAGATAGAGGACACTTTAACGGACACGACAGTATAAATATCATGTACCTGGGGGATAAGAAAGAGGGAGTAAAGTCAGCAATAAGTAGTGGGCTTGCCCGAAAAAAACCTATTGCCGGCCGTTTTGCGGCAAAATACGACCGCGTAACATAATACCGATGATGTCACCAGATAGAGGACACTTTAAAGGACACGTCAGTATGAATATCATGTACCTGGGGGATAAGAAAGGGGGGTAAAGTCAGCAATAAGTAGTGGGCTTGCCCGAAAAAATCTATTGCCGGCCGTTTTGCGGCAAAATACGACCGCGTAACATGAAACCGATAATGTCACCAGATAGAGGACACTTTAACGGACACGACAGTATAAATATCATGTACCTGGGGGATAAGAAAGGGGGAGTAAAGTCAGCAATAAATAGTGCGCGCGCCCGAAAAAATCTGCGCGACTTGAGTGGCTGCGCATAATAGGATTATAGGCCTAATACTTTATGGTAATACCCCCGCCGCAGCAAACCTGCCGACTAAGCGAATTTCCATTTGTCTGAATTGATTTTCAGTTAAATATATTTTAATAACATTAGGTTTAACGAGTACCTAGGTTTGCTGTTACAAGGAAACTAATAAAGTGTGTTTTTGAGTAAAATATTGATAGCTTAGTACAAAATAAATAAATTTGCCAAGTTTGATCAAAATATATCCATAAACAAGCGAACTACAACATTTGTGAATATTCTCCATAAGAATAACATGGGAATTTTAAATTTACAATTTTTTTAATTTTCTCCGATACTAATAATCGAACAAAAATACTTTTATATACTAAATTATTTGTTTTTTTAAGCTCTTTAAAAAGGTCTAAAGAGAAATCGGGAAATTTTGTGTTTTGAGGGTCAAAAGAGAGGAAAACCAATTTTTACCCCATAAAACCCCCCGTAAAGCCCCGTTCCCATGGTCTGATTTTGCTGGTTCGCGAACTCATTCAAGTTTATCCCGCTTTACACCTTTAAACCAAATTTCATCAAAATCGGACAAAAATTACTCAAGTTATCGCGTTCACGGACGTATATATATATATATATATATATATATATATATATATATATATATATATGGTATATAAGTCTATATATATATATACATATATAAAAATTTGAACGAATGGTGTTTTTGGCCTCTGGGGACATCAAAATGAAAAAGTAAATCGGTCCCGGGTCTAGGTCTTACCGTGCCACCTACGGTAATAGCTACTTCCCTATAGGGAAATTCGCTAAAAGTTGGTGATACAAAAGGATCGTCAACCAGTCTAGTCGTAAGTTGTCAGTTGTCACGGCTTTGAATCCTCTATCTGGTGACATAATCGGTATTATGATACGCGGCCGTATTTTGCCGCAAATCGGCCAGCAATAGATTTTTGAGGGCGCGCGCACTAGTTTTGGCTGACTTTACCCACCCTTTCTTATCCCCCAGGTACATGATATTGATACTGTCGTGTCCGTTAGAGTGTCCTCTATCTGGTGACATAGTCGGTATTATGATACGCAGCCGTATTTTGCCGCAAATCGGCAAGCAATAGATTTTTGAGGGCGCGCGCACTACTTATAGCTGACTTTACCCCCCCTTTCTTATCCCCCAGGTACATGATATTGATACTGTCGTGTCCGTTAGAGTGTCCTCTATCTGGTGACATAATCGGTATTATGATACGCGGCCGTATTTTGCCGCAAATCGGCCAGCAGTAGATTTTTTCGGGCGCGCACACTACTTCTGGCTGACTTTACCCCCCCTTTCTTATCCCCCAGGTACATGATATTGATACTGTCGTGTCCGTTAAAGTCTCCTCTATCTGATGACATTATCAGTTTCATGTTACGCGGTCGTATTTTGCCAAATAACGGCCGGCAATAGATTTTTTCGGGCGCGCGCACTACTTATGGCTGACTTTTACCCCCCCTTTCTTATCCCCCAGGTACATGTTATTGATACTGTCGTGTCCTTTAAAGTCTCCTCTATCTGGTGACATCATCGGTAATATGTTACGCGGCCGTATTTTGCCGCAAATCGGCCATCAATAGATTTTTTCGGGCGCGCGCACTACTTTTGGCTGACTTTACCCCCCCTTTCTTATCCCCCAGGTACATGATATTGATACTGTCGTTTCCGTTAAAGTGTCCTCTATCTGGTGACACTATCGGTTTCATGTTACGCGGTCGTATTTTGCCGCAAATCGGCCAGCAATAGATTTTTTCGGGCGCGCGCACTACTTATGGCTGGAGTTATTGCCAGGTTCACACCAATTGAAAATCCCGGGATCGTGGTTGAAAATGGTCCAGGTCCAGCCCAAAACTTAATTTTTGCGGAAGAAAATTTGAATAGGTTTGTTTACTTGGCTATGTTGGAGTTGTACGTAGTTCCTCAATTAGAAGAACTGCAACCTATGATAATTTTCCAGCAAGACGGTGCTCCGCCTCATGGGGCTAAATGTGTGAGGGATTTTTTTAATCTCCACTTCCCCGGACGCTGGATCGGGCGTGATGTCCCGACGAAATGGGCACCTCGTTCCCCCGATGTAACCCCCGTGGATTTCTTTTTGTGGGGATGTGTCAAGGACACTGTCTATTCTTCCCCGGTTCCTAGTTTACACACACTGCGGGAGATATTCAGAAATTCTGTAGCGTCTGTAACACAGGATATCTTGACTAAAACCTGGGACAGACTGAAAAGAAGGATAGAAAATCTTGCGGAAGTCTACCCAAAAGCTAGGCCTAATGCTAAAGGTTAACCTTCAAAAGCTTAAACATCAATAATGAAAAATAAATAGGCCTACCAACCTTTTAGCAAAAAAATAGAACTTACCCATTGTTTCTTCAGATATCATTTTTGATCTTGATAACAAATAATGCAAAAAACATAGGTCTATCCCAATTTGGTTTAGTATTATTGGTTATAGTTCAGTCTGAAAGTTCAAGCTGTGTGTCCAGCTTGGCTTGGATAGTTAACTTTCTCATTAGGCTATGTTGATATGTTCCATGTTCATACTTAGGCCTAGTCTATAACTTAGCTGAATTTTCAAACGGTGTTCGAATTACTTCTAATGCTTTAACATAAAACTGGAACAAGCTTCTTTTCCTTTCTGCTGGATTGCGAGTGAGTGCTGCTGGCTGTTGTGAAAATAATTTCCTCAACTAACAGACAGAAACAAAACAACAACACGGAACTCAAACTGAACTACTGAACTGACGTACTGAACTGACTGACACTGACACTGACGGACGACAGACAGACAAGTTTCAAGTTTCAGTTTTGAAAGAAAACTTGAAAACTAAACTGAAACTCCTTCCCTCCACCCACCCATCAACAATACACAATACACAAAAACTCCATCCATCTAAAATCTAAAATATCATCCTCGATTCGATTCGACTTACATTTTGGCGCCAATGCCAATCAGGGATGCCGTCTCTAGGATGATTAAACATTAAAGTTAATCCTCCTAGGTTGTGGTAGCACTGAATATTGAATAGCACAGGAATAGCATAACAATTATTTGTAATACATTTTTTCGAGTACCAACACCAACCCCAACAGTCTTAAACCATTGATCAACTTAAATACAATACGCAAGTGTAAACAGAGTGTATATTTATGAGTTTATAGCATAGTATTACAACTACTGTATTTTGTTTTATCTTTTTTATCAGTTGGTCTGTTGGATTGTCAGTTTGATTGTCATAAGACATAAGACATAAGACATATTTTATTTACACAATACGTTCTTTATAAAGTACATTTCATACATAAGAACAGGTGTTTCGTCATAGTGATGTATTATATAGTAAAATTAATAGTTAAAATAATTAAAATAAACTCATGTAGGATATCAGATAATTTTTATCTACATTATAGGGTTCTCCAAAAATTCGTCAAGTGAATAGTAGGCTTTCTCAATTATTTTATCTTTTATTTTATCTTTGAATTGAGTAGCATTTAAATTTTTAAGATACAGGGGTAATTCATTGTACAATCTAAGTCCCATATATTGAGGGCTGTTCCTAAAAGTCGTCAATTTGTGATGTGGTAATCTGAAATTATATTTATTCCTTGTATTATAATTATGTGTAAATTTGACTGCATCTGACAAATTTTCCTTAGTGTTATGTATCCAATTTAGAATTTCATTTATGTATAATCCAAAAATGGTGTGAATTCTAAGATTTTTAAACAGGTTTTTACATGATTTTCTCCTTCTTGATTTGGTTAAGATTCTAATAATTTTTTTCTGTAAAATTAGTAGGGATTTGACTTCTGTTGACACTCCCCACAGTATGATTCCATACCTCAAGATGGATTCAACGTATCCATAGTAAACTGTGATACATGTATCCTGAGGTACACAGTTTATCAGGTGAAAGAAAGCAAAAGAAATAGATCTTAGTTTGCCTTTCATCTTATCTATGTGAATCTTCCAATTAATATGAGTATCAAGCAATACACCCAAAAATCTATGAGATTCTACTAAATTTGGAATTTTATCAAGAATTACATTGTTTTTTAAAGAAAATTTAATTATATGAGTTTTGTCAATATTCAGCTTTAAACCATTATCTGTAAACCAATTTTTCATACAATCCAAAGTGTTTTCTATTGATACAATTAAGTTATTTACTGAATCCTCTCTTATGATTGCTGTTGTATCATCAGCAAATAAGATTAAATCTCTGCCAATAGCTTTTGGAAGGTCATTAATAAAGATCAGGAAAAACAGAGGGCCCAATATTGACCCTTGAGGTACACCATAATTAGATAAATTCCAGTTTGACATATGTTTCACACCGTTTTTGGTCACTATTGTTCTATACTTTCTGTTCTGTAAATAAGAGTCTAATAAAGAAAAACTTTTACCCTTTATACCGTAGTCTTTTAATTTAGAAAGCAAAATTGAATGATCCACACAGTCAAAGGCCTTAGACAGGTCACAGAAAACACCAGCAGTAGTTTCAGACCTGTCCAAAGCCCCTGTAACATCATTGATAAATTCAATCAGTGCACTGTTGGTGCTGAATGTCTTTCTAAACCCAAACTGTTTTTCATAAAACAAATCATTGCTGTTAAAATAGTTTACTAGCCGGAAATTGATAACTTTTTCAAATATCTTTGAAAAATTACTTAAAACAGATATTGGGCGGTAGTTATTTATATCGGTTCTAGCCCCTTTTTTGTATATCGGAGTAATATGAGAGTATTTCAATTTTTCCGGGAAAATACCACATTCAAAACATTTATTAATTATATCTGAGAGGGGTTCAGCAATTTTATTTGCTACTGCTTTGATGAGTGAAATGGGAACTTCATCCCAACCCACCGATGTCTTATTTTTCAAAGAAAATATTATTTTTAAAATTTCATTTTTGTTGGTTGGTTCAAAGTTGTACAGTGAACACCCCTTTATATCCACAGATATTTTCATATTTGGATGGACACCCTTTACAATAGGATTTGGCAAGTTTAAGCTATTAACAACATTAAAAAAAAAAGAATTAAAAGTTTTGGCAACAACATTTTGGTCTTCAATTAGTTCATTATTAGAGACTTTTAATGAAATATGATTGCCACAACTATCCTCTTTTCTAATGCCTAATTCGTTATTTACAACTTTCCACATGGCTTTTGGTTTATTTAATGCATTATTTATATATTTGCTGTTAGACCTTTTTTTAGAACTGTTTACAACTTTACGAAATATCTTTTTATAAGACTTTACATAGTTAAGAAAAATTGGGTCTGTACTGGTTTTGGCTTGCCAATGCAACTCACGCTTTCTTTTGCTAGAAACCTTGATACCTGTTGTTACCCAATCCAATATAACAGTTTTTATCTTAGATTTCTTTTTTACAGCCTTTAGTGGGAAATAATTATTCAACTGCCCTATAAAATAACTCAAAAAATGGTTGTAACTATCATTAACATTACAATTATCCAAACATAATTGACTTTTGTCAATTTCAAAAGTTTGTACATATTCGTTCATAGCATTTTCACTAAAAGTTCTTTTATAAAAAACCTTTTTGTTGTTGTCATTTATCAATTTGTTAGGTAGATTTATAAACAGTGCATTATGGTCAGATACACAAAGACCAATATTATATTTACAGATAACCTTGAGTTTTGTTTGAGTCGCAATGTTATCAATGCAAGTGCGAGAGTTACCTGATATTCTTGTTGGTTCATTGAAGTTTAGATTAAATCCATTACATTCAATAATATCATAGAATTTTGAAATTAAGTTGTTACTTTTGAGAATATCTATATTGAAATCAGAGGCCAGTATGATAGATTTAGTTTTGTTTTCATTTTTTAATTGATTCATTAAAAGTTCTAGTTTAGTGAGGAAAAGCTTTCTTATGTTATATTCTGGAACTGTATAAATTGATACCACTAGTAAATTCATTTCCACAATTTCAACAAATGAACCTTCAAAAATGAAATCCTCATTTAATACTTCCAGGTCTGCTCTTGTTTTAAAGTTAAATTCTTTATGCACTAATATACAAGAACCTCCTCTTTTTTTATTATTTTTTCTTATAAACACATTTCCCAAATTAAAATTATCAAAGGTGTTAAAAATATTAAATGAGTCCTCATTGATCCAATGCTCATTTAGTGCAAAAATCTTAATTTTACGTCCAAACTGTGATAGAAACATATTTAAATCAGCCACTTTACCTGGATTTAAGCCTTGAATGTTCATATGCATAAACATATCATGAACTGATCTCTGAAGTTTCAATAAAGAATTCTCATTGTTAAAAGTACTTTCTACCCTACTACAAAAAATATTATTTACAATAGATTGTCAGTTGGATTGTGGATTTATCAGTTTTGGTTGGATTGTCTTGAGTAGTGGGGTAGTTGTCTCACACGCCCGACATTCTGTACCCACTACCCATAAGCACGGGTCACACTAGGCTGCTCGCCAGCCGCTGGTGATCAGCAGCTGGCACCAGCACCACCAAGCAGCGGCTTTTCCGAGGGTCACACTAGGCTGCTTGTCAGCCACTGGTACTGGCATAGATAAAACAAACTCCCTTAAGCCTGTGTCACACTTGGCTACTTACTAGCAGCTACCTAGTAGCAGCTACTGAAATAGCAGCTACTTTTCCTGTCACACTTATTTTGGTAGCGTCTATTCACTAGCTGCTACTACTAGTTTAGCTCAAGAGAGGTTATGTAACAAAGACACGGATATTTTTTATACAGGTTCAAAAAATTAATCACATCTCCCCCACCCCACTTCAGATCACTCATGATTACTTCAGAAATTATTCAAAATGTGTAGCGTACTAGGCCCACATGATCTAGTTTATGTAATAATATATTTTAATGTCTTGACTTGTAAAATTTGTTTAAATGCCAAAAGCAGGTAAAGATAATATCCTCTTGAAAATGATCGAACAAAACTTTTATTATAAAATCTTCATTTTTTTTTTATAATAACATTCAACTTAAATTCTTGTAAATAAGCTCTGCTCATCAAAATTATATTAAGTGTTAATCTTTTAAAAATTCCTTCTTGATATACTATACTTAAACAAATCTTGACTTTATTTAATTTTTTTTTTTTTTGCTTCTTAATCATGAGCCCTAAAAGAAATAAAATTAATTAGAAACTTTGTGATTTGAGATTTGATCAAAATCTGAAAAAGAGAGGACATCTGTTAACATAATCTAAAATAAAACTAACTAAATTTAAAATTTTTAAGAGACTTACCCAAAACGTGGGGTAACTGACCAAAAGAACAAACAAACTAAACTTTACTTATCAACTGGTTTTGCACAACTGAGGCCGGACAAGAAGGGTGATTAAGTTTTGTCTGACCAAGGTAACCCTGTGATTGGCTGAAGACCATGTGCTTCAAACAATCACTGAGTTACCCTGGCCAATCAAATTGTCGTCTCTTTTCCTTACAGGATCTTGCAAATATTTAAATTTCTGTTTTAACTGACAAAATTGAACTAACATGTTTGAATCTTTCATGACTGAGCAGAGCTAAAAAAAGGAAAATACTAACTTGAATTTGTTTTTTAAAGAGTGACAAAAAATACCAAATATAAAATGCTACAAATTTCCCTCACTTAACTTTTTTGTTACATAAATAAACAAATTATTTGATCTACAAATGAAATCATTTAGAATCAACAACAAAGGTTACAATAAGAGATAAAAAAAAAAAAACAATGC